ACTCTAGTGGCATGGCACTAATTAAAAATACAAGATATTTGTCTTTCCCAGAGTAAAAACTGGGCTGTTTAAATATGACAACATTGCCATCCTTTCCCCCCCATCCCCTCCAGTCTCCACACAATCATTTAACACATTTCAGATAAACATTTTCTTCTTTCCTTTTCTATGAGAGTGAATCTATGAAAGAATCTATGCCACTGACCAAAAGCTAAACTAACATGCTATTTATACACATTTTATCAGCATTATCTCTGGGAGATTTCCTGCTCTTAAGCTACTGTGCAAATATACTTTGTTTTGTGGCAGTAGAAATCTTCATCAACAGTAGCATTTTGTGTTTGGATTTATTATGGATCCTGAAAATAACGTTTCCTTTCTTTAATGATACCTAGTGATCACGTTGATTTTCTCATTGACTCTCAATTTACAAGGGAGATAACATTTCTCATTCATCAAGTCCGAAAACTGAACACAGCGACATTCCCATAATCACCAATCAGCCCAAAGTGGGAACAGAACCTGTATTTCCCCAATGGTGGTTTTGTGCCCCAGTAAGCAATGTCCCTGTTCCAAGTTCAGCTCCTAACCCCAATTAGCAGCTTCTAAAAAGCAGTCACATGTTAGGCCTTGTTAATTTGTCATGTCAATAATTACCATTAATTGATCACAATTTGCTTTAATCCTTACACTCTTCTACATATCAAGGAGTAACTTACATCACAAAACATCCTTTTGACAAACATGGAGCAGTGGAAAGCAGAGTAAGATAATTAGAAAATGACTTCTATGCTTGTGTCTTTAACCATAATAAATAAGCTTCCCTACCTTATTGGTGTTACGCTTTCAAATAGGAGGAATTTCCTCTGAAAAACAATGTAAACAGACTACAACCAATACCTACTCATTACTTTTCCTTCATTTTCCAACATATACCATAAAAATAGTGATCCTCTTTACTTCTTACAGTGCAATTTTCTTTCCTTCTATTGGCTATTTTGTGGCTTCAGGCTGCAGTAAATCACATTAAAAGTACTTGCTTTCTAATAGTTTTTTTATTGACTAATATATTTTATTTGGCACTTGTTACCTTGGTAGGGATTTCATCTTACAGTTATTTACTATATGTGACATAGTCCTTTAAGCATTAGGCAAAAGGAACCAACACAGTTAAACACTAGATTTACTCCATGCTCCTTGGACTTGGGGTTAAAAGAAGAGTAAGTGTTCTTGTAATGAAAATCTATCAGTGTTCCCTGTTTTGCAAAGAGAGGACTTGCTACTCTACATGCCATGGAAGCTGTCAACATGATGTATTATTTTACACAAGTCACTTAGGCATGTCATGCCCATTTACCTACTTAAAATATGAAATAACTCTTATTTAATATGGAAGTGTTTAGTAAGACTTAATGAGTTTCTAGTATGTTTACTGCAGAGATTTCTAAGAACCAAATGGCATAATATTGCTTTATATATGGAAAATGATTGCAGCATTTCATGAAGTATCAGTCTGCAAGTAAAAAGTGTTCCAGCTACGAAACCACGTTTGCAGTTTCACTGTGGAGAACGTGATATAATACTTGTATTTCTTAGGAATACTTATTTTATAACACTTTCTTTATCACCACAGTTTTACAATTAACGAGGATTTAAGCGCTCCAAGCTTCTTGAAGATATGGTAAGTTTTCACATGTTCTGTCTATGGAGTGGCTTTTGCTAGATGCACATTCTCATGTTAATGATTATTTTGCACCCTGATGTCTTCTAGATATTACAGTGGGAACAATGTCAAGACAGTTTTTGTTATAGTACATGTTAAAAAAAAACCACCGTGATGGTCTTCCATCATGGCTTCCTGTATCTTTGATGCTGGTTACATGAATTGGCTTCTGTGTGTTTAGGAGTAAATTAGCTAAGCTAGCATACATCTCCTGTATACAATCCTGATTCAGTGAAAGTGGAACTTATCTTGATTTAGCTTAAACTGGCTCTTAGTTAAATTAATCCTGAATTTGTTCATATTTGTATTGATATTAGATTAACTGACTAAAAAAGGGGAGAGGGAAGAGAGAGACAGAAAAGCTTCTCAGCTTTGTGTCTGGCTACTATGCCCTATATTACACATCTCACCACACAGTCAGCATTGTAAATGGCAGCCTGCCCACATGGCACATGGATAAGCAGGTGGCATACATACAGCTGGGCATCTCTGGCAAGCAATGTGTCCAAGTTTGTCTTCGCCAACTAACCAGATTTTTTGGAGCCAAAGTCAAAGTTACTGCACAAAGAGAAAGGATCACTAATCTTCATCCTCTCTCAGACCTTAAGACATTACGATGGAATTTTGGCACGGTGGGAAATGCATACTGAAAAACCACCACAGCTGGCAGGGAGCCTTGGGATGCTCAGAGAGGAAGGATAAATCACAAAACAGTTATCCTGCCTGCACAACTAGTTGATGAGCACTGCTTTTCTTCCTGCAGATTTTTAAAGGTCATATACAATGCATTATGAAAATATGCTGGTAAAAATAACCTAAATTTTGTGACACTCCTCTGACCTGCAACACATAATGGACAAGTCTCTAGCAAATAGTCCATGTTGGGAAGAGGGTAATCATATAAGCTTTGTGAACCAAAAGGCACACCATACCCAGAAGTACTGACACCGTGTCATGTTCCTTAGAGAAAATTGCCAGTGTAGCCTGAGTTGGATTTTTAAACACATTTAGTTATGCTAATTCAAAAGGTCAGTTCCCTCAGCACAGCTCGTATAAATTTGGACTTGCTCTAAAAGAACCCCGGTCAAAATCACTGTAATTTCAGGGGTTATACTAATCCTAAGCATTTCATCCTCTCTCACACAGAGCAGAAACACAAATAGGACTGAAGTATGCAAAGCTGTAGGGTTGGCAAGCAAAGATCTAAAGGGGAAGAATGAAACAAGGAATGCATTTTGAGGTCTTCTCTGCTAACACTTTCAATGTTACCAAGGCTTTTCCTTAATAAGACAGATAGAGAATTTTATGACCTCCTGAGAATATGAGTTCCATAAACTGACCATAATGTCAGTGAATTTATGCTTGCTTGTACATCTTTTTATACTGCAATCCATTCTATTACAAGAGCAGGCAAGCTTACAGAAAGAGGTGGAAGGAAAATTTTATTTCAATTTCATAGAATGACTTGGGTTGGAAGGGGCCTTAAAGACCATCTAGTTCTAACTCTCCTGCCATGGGCTGTTTGCCACCCACTAGATCAGGACGCCCAGGCCCCCATCCAACTTAACTTCGAGCAGCTCCAGGGATGATGTACCATAGAAACTTTTTTTTTTTATATTGAAGATCAGTTGCCTGAGAGTTGTCCTCTTCACTGAGGAGTGGGTGATTGCTCTGAACTATTGATTCCTGTTACAAAAGCACTGCACATAATGCTGCCCAGGCTGACATCCTCCGTTCCATTGTACAGTCCCTCCCACACTTACTAGAACACTTGACAAGATATACAAGTATAGGATGCATAACCAAGAAGTAAAGTGTGGAATCCCTGCTCAGTTAGAAACCACAGGGAGTTACCTTCATTTCAGCAAGACAAGAATTTCAGCTAAAGCATCAATCCTGCATATACAGGAGTTAATAGGAATTTCTGGTGTAATTTCTGGGACTGAGTGATTACCTGGAACAGTAAAAAGGTTAGAAATAAGTTTTGGGATAGGTAAGGGAGAAATATATTTTAATATTTTTAATGAGCTTGTATGTCTTCTGAAGATAAAATTGGTTTCAGAGATCAACATTTCAAATTCATGGGCAGGCTGCTGAATTTCCTTTTTATGGAGGAAAAAAAAAAAACAATTTCACATTCCAAGTACCTAGACACAATCTTTCTTCCTTTCCATATTCATAATAATATTTGTCATAGTAACTTAGTGTTGTTTCAGTAACAGGAATACTGGTGTTCTTCCATTTCCCCAATGAATTTCCAATTTTACACTTGCTCATCTGACACCAAATACACTGCAAAGCATGCCAGAATATTCAACAACATTGAAAGAGAAGACAGAGGAGATCGGTAACAGATTTCATTTTCACTTCTTCAAATTAATCAATATTTCATTCTATGTTTCTTATCTAGAGATCCAGCAATATACCCCAGTGAACTTCCAATTGCAAACAGACATCTGACAAGTTCTATTTGAAAATTTGGTTTAGCGAATATACATTCTTGAAAATTAAACTATGATTATTAGATGCAAACATATACATGAGAACAAAGAAAAGAAAAACAGATTTTGTCACTTGATTCCATCATTAGAACGTCTCCAGGGGGATACATTTAACAAACATTTTCAAGTCAACATGCCATTGAGACCATAGGAAAATTGTTACTAAGGGTTACTTACTCCAAGTAGAGGTGTGGCAAAACCACATTCATAATTAAGATTAGTTGGTGTTTTTTCCCCCCTTTTCTGCTCTAAAACTCTCATTCTCAACTCTAATGCTACATAGCAAAGACCATAATGGTGGCTGCCATCTTGGTGGTGGTGGCAGCAAAGAATCAGAAACAAAATGCAATGAGAAGCAGAGAGAACTGCAGCTTTTTTTTTTTTTTTTTTAATTATGATTATTCATCACTTCCTGTGGGGATAAATGATCTAATGATTCTGTTTTCTATTCAGCATATCAAGAGATGTACAACACGTAAAGGAAATTATTGTTCTCCTGGCCTAACAATGTAAGCATTCAAATAGCAACATTTGCTATAGCAAATATTGCAATTGCTAAAATTTCTATTGATTAAATAGAATAAGAGAAGATAATGACAGGGAAAAGTGTGAGAAATACCATCTTCATTATGCAGTGGGACTGTTAAGCTGTGACATTCTGATAGAGCAATAGAAGACAGAAGACAAAAATTGTCTCCAAATCATTGGCAGATCCTTCACCCTTAGAATCAGATGTTCGAAAATGAATAAAAAAAGAAAGCAGCCATGTAACTTACCAGACAAAGATTGTCTACCTTGCTCCTCTTTTCTCTGCGTCCAATGAAATCTGCCATCACTGCAAACTTATTCAGGAAAATGAAAGATTCAAGAAGATGCCTGGAAAAGGAGAAAACCTATGTTTTAATTCCTAAGAAATTAGAAGGGAAAACAGAATGCCTACATCAAATCAGTGGGCACATAGCTAGTTTTTTCTTTCCACATAGCTAATGCCATATATGGGATAACTCTTTGCCTGTAGGTCTATAGTTATGCCCTAGTGCTTGGCCACTGGTTGTACTTTGAAATAGAGTCTTCTAAGGGAAAAAAAAAAAAAAAGTAATTTTTTTTGCAAAATATTTATGAGAAAAACAAACACTGATCTTGGGATTACTTGTTAGGGAATTGAAAACAAGTTGCACTCTCAGTATGACAACACTGAGGTTGCATAGATCAAAAATAGCGGTGAATTTGATGTTGAGAGTTTAAATAACGTGCTCAAGGTCACATTGCAAAACTTGTCAGCCCAGAGATTAGAAACCAGGAGACTGAAATTCTCTCACCCATTCTCAAACTTCCAGAATAGGGAATAAAGATCCCTGCGGGCAAGACTGTTAAAAATTAAAAAAAGAAATCCTGGTTCACTCAGTACAGGCCTTAGAGTAAGACTTTGACACACAGTATCACGAATTCTTCTCTTTCTCTCATGTACCCTTTTTGACATCCTCTGACTGACAGATGTACTGACAACTTCTCGAGAGCCATCTGATCAAAACTGAGGATTATAGCTTCTAGCAGCTGGGAGAAGGGGAATTATGTGTATCTGCAACCCTAGATGTAAGAAACAACTTCACCTCTGCACCTAAGACATTCTAGTGAGCTGTCGCTGTTAGCAGCTGGTGTAAGATCCACTGACAGCTTGACAAAGGCAAGAATTAAATAAAATAAAGAGGAGTCCTTCCCAATCAATAGATGAAAAGTAGAAAATAAGTCACCACATAATAAACTGCTCTGAACTCCCACATAACAGCAATGGGAGGAGAAAGGCAGTGACACTCTTCAGTCAAGGCCTTTATTATTACATTTAGCTGTCAACATTTTAGAGTAAATCTAACATTTTTCCCAGCCTTCAGCTGCAGCACAATTTGTGATTATAATGCTCACCTCCGTGGAAAGAACACACTAGCTTATGATTTCCTCCCTTTATTTCAAGAAGCCTTCAACAAATTTCTCTGACATCAGTAAAGATTTCTCAGCACTCAGGATAACCACTTGTTCTACCTTCTTACCTCCTCCATGGCCACTACCTTCAGCACTCATTTAAAACATGCTACTTTTACTACACTTCATAAGCCCTTGGGATTCAAAGGGACTAACTTCGGGGCAGATGCTTTGCAATGAGCTGGATGCCCCAAAATTAGCCCTAGTAAAAGCAGGCATCTTCCCCAGTGAAGATACCTTTACTCCATATAACCCAGCAGCAACAAGAACATTACAAATAAAATAATGATGGGGATTTTTGAGTAATTGTTTATAGCCAGATTTAGGATTCAAGAGTCCTACATTTTCTGCCATTACTTATCTGAAACCGTTTCAATAATATGAGAACAGAATGAACAGGTTCTTTTCATTCATACTTGAGCAATTCTTTCCCAAGTACATTGTGAATTTAGCTGTTTACAGGGTCCTCTATTTTAGAGTTGTTACAATCAGAAAGGTCAATAGGGCAACACAGGAGCGTAGTAGCAAAGGCACCAATGCAATAGAACAGTATTACAATGGAAAAAGGAAAGGAGCTCACCCATCCCTGAAGATCTAGGCTTGCAGGGAAAACTCCACAAAAGAGGGATCTCCTACCAGAGATCCTTGACCGATGGCAGCTGGCACTTAACTGAGGTTTAGGAGAGATGCAGCCAGGCTCCACCTCTTCCTATCACACAGCTGAATTGCCCTCACCTGTGCTCCCAGGGTTGACCAAATGCTTTCCCCTGGTGCTCAATCAGTGGTTCAGGCTGGGACTCAACAGTGCAGTATTTAAGTATTTATCATTGCATAATCAATGAATATACAGGTTGTTATAATTAAGAAGTATATAAGAGAGTCTGGCTAAGCAGGTTATTATACCAAAAAGAATAGATAGAGAGCTTTCCCTTATCCTGGGTTCGCTGCAAAACTCCGAAAGAAGGGATCTCCAGAACAGATCCTTCCCCACTCCTAGTCAGCTCTTAAATGGGGACTAGGAGATGTGGAGCCAAGTTCCAGCCCTTCCAGCAGCACAGGAGAATTGCCCTCAGCTGTGCTCCCAGGGCTGACTCATTGCCCACCTCAGGTGAGCAATCAGAGGCTCAGGCTGTGATTCAGCAGTTTCCATACAATTATTTATTCTGTTTTCTCAGCATTATATTCTCCAGTGCTTGAGTGCTGTGTATACATATGACAGATGTATGAAAGTGTTAAAAAAAAGTGGATTATTTTTTGCTGACAAATAAGGAGCATCTGATCAATGCATTCTCTTTTTACAGGTTTATTTTTTTCCAAACTGTAATGGCTGAGAAAAGAACTCCCAAAGTCTTTCAAAATAAAATGTGTTTGAAATAAAGTCACAGAAGATAAAATTACGACATTCAAAATGAATTACTATGGAGGAGCAAATGGTGGGAGGAGTAAATATATTTTAAACTTAAAAGTGCCAGTGAATGGCTATTTTAGGTGTATTTTAAACAAGAATACCTCAGCATATTTAATAATAGAAAGTTAGATCCCCGGGGCAAAATATTGAGCAAAAATGTTTACAACATGCACTTCCAGATCTGAGAAACTTACTTTAGCATATTTTTAAGGCATTATTAAGCTTCTGCTGTTTTTCTTTACAGAGAAGTTTTAGGGTATTTTTCCATTATATATGCTTAGTTTTTGTCATAGCAAGAGAAGTTTCTATGTAATTAAAAATCACTACAGCAGACGTAATTTCAATGTCACAGTGACCACAGAAGTCAGTTTTCTTAAATGTAAGTTTGAAACAAACAAAACAAAAAAATTCTCATGTAAGGAAAAAAAAAAAAAGCATTTTGAAATTAACACAGAGTTCAGTTTAAAATCTTTTTTTTTTTTTTTTTTTTTTTTTTTAAATAAATAGCTCCTTATGATCAAGTAGGTGTCAAGAATTAAATTTCCTGACCTTAAAAATCTATATCCAATCTTAAAAATCTATATCCAATTCTAAACACATTAGACCAGAGGAGCCTTGTCTTGACTTAACCAGAAAGAAGAAAAAGCATCATCTGCTGATGCTGTAAGGGCTTTTAGCTTTTTCTCTTTGGGAATTAGATGAAACTGGATACGATTCTTTTGAGTTTCTTAAGAAATCCCTTTGCAGTAACTAGGAAAAACCAAAACTGCACGCAGTAAAATATGTAGGCCCCCTCTGCAGGGCCTGCATATCCAAAACAGAGTGAAAAAATGTATTTCTGTGCATCTACAGAGACACACATGAATTATTCTACCCTTATACCAAAATGTCAGGACAGAAATCATGCAAGGCACATCACACCAATCCAGTACGACCTTAGGGGTGAAAACCTTGTCATTTGTTGTCCATTCCAGAGCTGGTTACTCTATAAGGCAACTCTTGGTGGTTTGATGTGAACACGAGGAGGCACACATTACCTTTTCACTGTACAAAACCTAGCTTCTCATTAGCTTTTCATTTCTTCAGATTGTTTTTTATAGCAAGTCTAGATATGTGTAAAATCTGGAATTTTTTAAAGTAAAAGGCTTTTTTTTTTTTTTCCTAAGAAGATTAGATTAGAATAACATTAGTTATTCAAGTGATTAGAACGCACGCATATACTCAGGAATCGTATACAATAATAAGCACGCCTTCTGAGAGCCAAAATCGAGTTGTGTGACAGTTGGTGGTTGAACAGGCAGATGCTTTTGGGTTCTAGAGAAAACCCAACTTTTATCTCTATGGCTGTGGACATTTTCTGAGGAAGAATTAACCAACCAAATGTGGAAGAGCAACTCAGTAAAAATTAAGAGTGGAACAGGACTGGATGAAGGAAAAGGCAGAGATCCTGTGAATCTTGCTAGCTAGATAGCATTGCTACACAGTCATAGAGGATTGTTTCATTCAGCAAGAGAAAACATCCAAAAAAAATCTCTGTAGTCTCCTTCCCAGTACTACATCAGAGTGAAGCACTGCATCAATTCTGAATAGAATTTTAGCCCCAGCAACTGTCCTTGCGTCAAGCTGCTGTGTAGGACCAAGCTCTGTCCTTTCTGCTGCAGGTTCAGTGCCTTATTGGAAAAGGAAGCTCTGTAGAAATGCAATGATATAGAGAGGAAATTGTATATTTAATAAAAGTTTTGGATGTGTCATTTTTGCTTACCAAAGAAAATTGCACGGAAAAAAAATGACTCCTTAATGGATTGTTCAAATGCTCATTAACATCAAGCAGATTTATTTGAACAGATAATTATCGCCATATTGTGCTTTCATCAGTGGAATTGTTTATGTTAAACTGTCAAGCAGCCGTTTTCAAATTATATTCATCTATGTGTTCAAGTTTCCTTATGATTAAAAAAATATATATATATATATATTTTTTTTTTTCCCCTCAACTTCATTTGAACTCCATTTAAAGGCTTTCATGAGAATTTAAATTTTGTGGGAACGTTGAGTCATTTCAGTTCAGACATTATGAAGAACTGAGCATACAGGTTCTCCCATGAGGAATAGAATGCTATTTAAGTTTCTCTGTTCTGTGTTCATTCATTCATTCTGTTAGCTGGAAGGCACATGTATGTGCACACAAGAGAGAAGGTGCAACTTAGAAGTGGCAACTTTTCTGCATTCAGAAGCTGATTTTTAAGCTGTCAGTCCCTCAACATTCACTCCGGCTGCTGCTATCAGTATGTTTAGCAAATCAGTCTATTTGCAGTTACAAGTCATTAGAGCCTCATGTAAGATAGATAGCAAATTGCTATGCCTAATCAAAACAAGACAACCCATGCCTTTAGGCTACTCTCAGTACAGTTATCTGTTGCTAAAGAAAGCAGTTCAACAATGTATATGTCCTCTTATTTCTCTCTTGCTGTCAGTAACCTTTACACATTCTTTACATAAGCAGATTCCTCATCCACAATAAAAATCAGCTTTCCTAGCCATATGAGCACATACTTTCTTAAGTGGTGAGAGTTTGATAGCATGATGTTCAATATTTAATTTTTAACTGCATAATTTCCTCAGACTGGAATAGAATGATTCTTTTTGTTTATAATCACATTCCCACCCTTTTACCTCCCACTACAAAATTGAGAAATTCTTTAAAGGCATCTCTAAGGACAATTTACAAGTATTGCTACAGAAAACCACTACAAAAACAAAGCAAAAAGAAAAATACCCACAAACCCTATACTGACACCTTGCATGATAAATAATCATTTAAAAGTCCTTATTTACTTTATAAAAATATCCCTGTTTGCCAGTTCTCTAACTTCAGCATTCTGCACTGCTACAGAACTGGCCAATATGCAGAGCAATGACTAAGCTGTAATTCTAGTATGTTCCTCATGGCCAATGAAGAACGGAGAACTATATCTATTTCCAGTGCTTTTTAAAATCAGTCTAAGAATATACTAGCCAATGTGAGAAAACGTTCATCAAATTATGCTCATCAAACAAAGGTGAAAAAATACCAGCTCCTGTCTCTACTTAATGTAACTCCTGTGCTCTCATTTTTAGCCTCATAACACATCTACTGAGCATTTTCCATTTCAAAGCTTAAATCTTGGGTTTAGAGTCCCTTCAGTTCTGGACACATCTGGATGAATCTCATCATGTGATCTATCCAGAATATGGTGTTTTACATCTCCTCCATTACTTGCTATGAAAATATGTGCTTACCTTAACGACAAAGGCTTTTTATTACACTGAAGAAATAAAATGCAAAGCAACACTCGCATTCTGTGAAGGAGTACAAAAAGATTGGTGTTTTATCATTCCATAACCCAAGCAAGAAATCTCTACAGTTCTGAGAGGTGGCAGAGGCTGCTGGCCCTAGCGCAATTAGCATTGGCACCAGCCTTCAGACAGTGTTGTAGCCACACACAAAGGCTGGCCTGTTGCATGGGGATGTAACTTCAGCTGTGCTCAAAGGTCAATCACAGGAAGTTGCTATCCTAAAGGGAAATAAATCAGGTGGCTTAGCTCCACGGAGGAGAGTACCTTGCTTTATTAACAGTTGTTTTTGAGACTGCACAGGCAAAGCTTGAAAAATGTAGTGAAGATGCAGTCTGTGTTTTGCATTATAATTCAATTTAGCAATACCACACACACACAAAGCTTTATTGCTAATGGATGCACCGAGCAGATCTTATTCCTCTACATCAGCAACGAAACAAAGAACTACACATCAACAGTAGGCTATCATTAGCAGTAATGTTATTCCAAAGCATGGCATATCTGTCAGGCAAATGTAACTGCATCTGACATCTACCATAGTTCTATTTGCCTGGCTGAGATGCTACATTTCAAATTGAGGAACACCTGTTTCAGACGTGATGAATCATCTTCAACTGTATTTCCTATTGCCTGCTATCCTGTAAGATCCATCTGTGGAAAGAAGTTACATAACACTATAATTTTGTTGTTTTCCAGTATTGCTAAATTTTTTTTATTTTTATTTTTTTAAATCTGCAGCTCATTTTGTGATACAGAAAGGAAAAAAAAATCCAAAGAGATGATATTTCTATTTCTAGTATAGGAATAACATGAAATAAAGGCTGAAATGGCTCCTTATTAGAAGATAACAGTCCTACTGACTGTGGCACTTTTACCAGTGCCCTCTTCAGCTCATTCTGTCTGGCATGTACTCAGATTGCAACTGGTTGCTGAGGTGGGGGGAGAGTAAGCAAGAAAGCTCATGGCTTCCTTTGAAACTGGAGAAGTCAACACCATGTCAGAAGCAGAAGAGATCACTATGAGAACCTCAGCCAAAGCCATATCAGGCAATAAAAAGAAGGCCCTATGAAATGTAAAATTTCATACAAAGGAGGGATTAATATTCAGGCAATGGGACCTGACAGCACATCAGCACAGCACATGTAGAAAATTTAATGTAGTACTCATGTGCATGTCTTCTGCATTTTAAAAGAAAATTGAGAGCTATTGAGAAGAATAAGACTGTTCTAAATGTGCTGTACAGCAAGTGGTAATATGAACACTTCCATGCTTGAGAAAGCCCAATTTTCTCTCACTCCAAAGAGGATCACCACATATTTAGCTTGTACGTTTTTACATTTACTGATATAAAAAAATGTATTTCTCAGTGGGTATCATTTATTGCAGTCACGTGATCTGCACCGTGACAGAAACATTTCAGATAATAAGTGCAGTTACAAGTTAATCAACTGCTTTGCATGTTTGCTTTAAAATGATGGCTTAAACAATTTCACCACAGTCCTAAAAGAAGAATTCAAGCTACTTGCTCAACTGGTACAAGCACTGCTCCCAAAGTAGTGTCTCCTATATGTTGGGCCACAACGTCAGAGGTAGATATTGGTGGCATGGCAGTAGAGGCTGAACCTTCCCACCAATATCCCATTACACTTGGTTTCTGTGCAACAGATGGCAGCAGAGTGGCAGTCTGACACAGTGGTGTCCGACAACAGAAGCATGTATGAAGCAAATGTGTGGAACTGAATTCTTCAGTGCAGAGAAAATGGCACCCATTGACATCCACTGACACAGAATGTTCATGAAAACCAAACAGTGGATGTGAGCACAGTGAGTTCAGTATTTCAGCAGTGGTGACCATGATGTAAAGCCATATTTAAGAGGGTCATGCAGTTGGTTTTTTCTTAATGAGCGCAGTATGCAGGCTCTTGATCAGTGCTGGCAAAATGCACAGCTAATGGTGGTGACTATGCCAAAAAATAGTATTTTTTAGCTGAGAATTTGCTCTATTAATTAGTGTTATTGTGCTCTTGGCATTTGTTGTGGTTTCCATGGAAGTAAATGAGGCATTACTTTCAGATTGATCTACACAGACAGCAACGGATTTTACAGTTTTTGGAACTTCTGTTTCTGGACATGTTAGACTATCCCAAATCGTACTATACCAGGTGGTAGGTTTCTGGCTGAACAGAAATTTAGCTTTCAAGTAAGCTTGAGATCCATCCAGGAATGGATCTCACCTTCCCTTATACTCATTGGAATTTGAAGTCGGGAATTTCTTTTGGGCTCAGAAACCACTGTTCCACTCAAAAATTGATTAGTTCTATTCTATTAGTCCAAAGCAGACTTCCATTGGGAGTATATTCAGTATACAGTTCTTTCAAAACTGAAGCATCACAGCTGACCATAAGCATTTCTCCAGAAGTAAACTGCAATATCAGCAGGCCATCAAAAGTAGTAAGACCATTTACAATAGCACCATCTGGTGTCTCTTAGTGATTTTATAGTTCTGGTAAATGTAGATTTTAAAAGTTAGCACAGAAATTACTGCAGTTTGCAACAGTCATGTCCTGCCATTTCTGCTATTCTGTCCCAAGCATTCACAATGAATGAATGATGCCATTTGTTTCTTTCCCTGTAATCTCACAGTTGTCCACAGCTGATGAATCCAGGGCTTGCTTTGTTTTCTAAAGGAGGCAGATTTCTTTTTGCCTGCACTGGAACTTGAGCTGTATGAGAAAAATGAGGAAACTGCCTGTGCAATTCGGTCTTAATGTATTAAGCAGGTTTTTGATCTGCCTATACCAAGCACGTCTGGAAAAGTTGCCTGTCACCTACTCTCACACCTGGATCTTTCCCAGAAGTATACCATCAATAACTACACTCTCAGAATACAAGGAATTATTTTCCTCTAATGATACATATCTGAAACACAGCAGATTTTAGTGAACTGGACATTACGGAACGCTAAGGAAATCATTCTTCAGTTCCCAGGTGGATCAATAACCTTGGAAAAGTGAGTTCATTAGTTTATTTGTCTCAATTCAGCATAGCAGTTAACTTTATTAAGTGTACCCAGTATCTCATCTAATGGGGACCAGCCTTTATAAATATGGACAACAATTTACTTCTTTCTAAATGAGTCTCCCCTGTGACTGAACTCTTAGGGAATGCTATTCCTGAAATTAATCTTGAATGCTCCAATTAGAATGGTAGCAGTTACAGAATTCTCTAATGGCTACTTTGAAAAAACAATTACTGTCTTTATTATGATAACCATCCAGATGAGATACTATACTTGACAAAAGATTATTAAACACGTTATTATTCAGTCAGTGATTCACTCAGCCAAAAGCTTACACATACAGTAACAAAGGTTAATATGCCATCAGTTAAAACTATTGTAATGCAAAGGCCATTTTTCTCCTACTTTTTCCAACAGTACAGTATTCCAGTAGATTTGGGGTTTTCTTGGCAAGTCAGTGATAATTTTCTTAAAATTTGATCTTAAGATATTTTAAGATATGAGATTAATATACAGAACTGTAAATCTTACTTTTTGTCTCAGAAATTAGCATAGGAAGTCACCATCTATGACAATGGACATTATTTCTCAGAGGGAAGGATTGAGTTGCTCCAATTTGTGTCTCCTTATATTTGTCAGTCAACAAAAATACGTGAGCTTAGCATAAGCAATATCAAGTCTTTGGAAAGAAAAAGATCATAAGGAAGATTTAAAGCTAGATTTAAGCTAGGAAGATTCCTAGCTTCACAGACAGAAGGTATTTCAGTGCTGAGGAATATGGAAAGTATGGGAAGGAACAAGTGGAACTGTGGAAGAAGAAGATGATTCAAAATACTGCTCTAACGAAGAGGGGAGCAAAAATGGTAGATGGTGTGTAACTAGGAGGAATGAAGAGGGTGGAAGGATCTTCTCTGGGGGAATACAAATTTTGATAACTTGCTCATCATCTGACAGATTTAAACACTGAGAAGAAGAGGTTCTTAGACACAGTTCTGTCCCAGTTTGCTGAATATTGTTCTCCCAGATACCCTGTTGCACATCTCAGTAGGTCTGTTGTATTAAATTAGGTCAAGAGGGCAACTATCTTGCAGTAATCAGTGGAAGTGCCTCACCTTAATTCTCCATCAGTAATTTAAATAGCCTGGATTTTCTGAACACTCCTCACTTTCTTGTAAAATAAAAAATACTAGTAAATATCAGAGTCCATTATGCACCCTGGGCAGATCAGAATCTTCACTTGTGTAAAAGACAATGAGAAATGCTTTCCTCATGCTATCTCTTTAAGTCTACTGAAGAAGTCTTGGTTGTCTAACTCCAGAATTTAATGGTTTCCCTGCAAGAATATCCTCAAAAGAACATTACCAAGAGCAAGGTGACAGATAATTACTGCCCTTGAAAGGCCTACAAGCTATTGTGGTTTCTCTATTGCAGTCTCCTCAATGATATAAAGAACAAAGTACTTATCTTTTATGGTTAAAAAAAATGCTGTAAGGAGTTATAAGAAAGATGTGGAAACCTTATTGTATTCCCCAGCTTCCTTGCCTGTTCTGTGTAACTTACATTGCAGTTTCAGAAAATCTCATCTTTCTCCCCATCCTTCAGAGTTGCCAGTCCTGCTGAAAACTTTTTTACTTGGGTTTAAATAGCTTTTAGTTCTACAACCCTTGGGTTGCATCTGCTTGTAAAATGTCTTGGCAAGAGATATTGGAGGAATGTAAGGACAGTTTGCTCAATTCTTCTCTCAAGGGATAACTGTTTGAATAAGTAAGCAGTCATTGAAATTTCAAATTAGTTATGTGTATTACAACTTCACTATATAGTTCATTCTCCTCTGCTGTGAAAAACACAAAGATACTTTCTAAAAAGACAGCACACCAAGTTTTCTAATCAGATTCTTATACCCTGGTGACTCTGCAGACCATTCTGTAATAGAATTGAGGAACAGGCTATGTAGCTAAAACAGAACAGGCAATTAAAAATGTTATCTCTGTGGAAGATCATAATAACAATGCTACAGAAAAAAATCCATGATAGAGAAGAAACCACTTCAAAAAAGATGCATTCAGTCAGAGATGCATGAAAATCTTCCAGTAAAAGTGAGTGATCTTTAGAAGGAAAGTCTTGGATCCAGGAGAACAGGTTTTTCTATCACACAGCAATTCGGTAGATATGACTACAGCTTAAAAGATCGTGTAATCATGACAAAATCACTGACGCTTGTTTTATCTCATCTCAGGTTGGCTATATGATCACAGCAGTCGTACTGAGGATTGTCTAAATTGATCACTTAAGAGCAAAGTGTAAAAGATACAAGCAATTGCATGAGTCTAAAACATACTTCTCTGCATTTTGATGTCCCTCAATGATCATTTATGTCACTTGAGCCACGTGTCTTGTTGACAAGTCTCCATTCAAGCACTAGTATCAACAGACTGTACTGGATTCTCAAAAACAGAAGAGAGCAGCTGCTGTGTTTCAGGACCACAAGATCCTAGTTTAGAACACACGTTTCAGTGCTGAACTGGAATAAACTGAGTAGTTCCCCTGTAAAGCACAATAAAAAATGTGAAAGATTTTTACCACACAAAGATCTTGAAAGTGTGTTCAAACCAAAACTGAAGACCTTCCCTGTGCTCCAATTAAAAAAAAAGAACACAACTGTCTGGAGAAATTTCTTTCTCCTGAAATCATAACATTTGTCTCTTTCTAGTTGAAGGTATTTGTGAAATTAACAATGATTTGCTGAAACAGCTCATTGAACATCCTTGTCATATTCACTGGTCCCTCAGTGGTCACCAGTTAGTGCTGAGAGAGAAGCTCATAAAAAGCTTATATTACCCTATGTCTTAGTTACTTTACAATAATATGATCAAAACAGTTGAGTTTCAGGTTCAATGCAGTGTATGAGATAAACTCCCATGAAAACTGTTGATTATCTTAAAAAACTTAAGTGAGTGTGCCTAAAAATACACACACAAATTAATACAGGGCTAGCACCAGCCTTTACTATAAAGGTGTTAGTCATTCACAGCAAGTCTGCTTAAAAATTCACATAACATTTTGACCCATCATAGGAAGCACAGCTGTTACTGGAAGTTGTCCCTTCAAGGTTATGTCCTTGTGCTGGTGATAGGCCCAGGGCGCTTACTTTCCTAAGAAGAAATTTGGCAGTGTTCTCTTTGGTAGCTGGATAACAGTTCCTGAGTATCCATTAGGATTACTTCAGTATGTTCACTTGGTTTGGTTACTGAAGGAGCTTTGATGCTGGCGACTACTAGAGAGGTTAATTAGAAAGACTAAAGAAAAAGCACTAATTTTAAAGCAAAATATTGTTCCTTCACCAATTCAAAGAAACAACAACTGCAGGCCCAGGTGTTAAACAATGGGAAAGAAAAATAAGGGCAAAAATTTCCACATGCACATTTCCTGGCTAAAGTTCTAAACTCTAATTAACATAAATCCAGATTAGTTTCCCTCTCAGGAGGAACAGCCTACATTGCTTACAGCACATTCTTTCAGACTGAGACTTCCCAGCCTGTCAGCTCTATAATTGACATATTCTGGGAAACCTCTCTTGGCTCATCCAAAGCTCCCTCCCTGTTCTAGTTCTTTGAGGTTTCAGGCTTCTTTGATCCCCCACTTAGTCTTGGGAAGAGTACCTATTCCAGCCTGCATGGAGCCAGCTCATTAGTTTTTCTTTAAGTGATGACCCAGCCATTATCTTAACTACTTTGAAGCTATGTATCTGAAACCATTCTTATCGGTGTCACTGTTTTACATTTCCTGTTTGGTCCTTTAACAACCCCTTTACAGTCCACTTTGATTTAACTCTCTCCATGCAGGGAGGAAGGAATATTGAATTGAATAGGGAAACATTTATAGCACAGATGAAACAGTTTAACACACCAAATGTACTCCTGATGAGAAAAATATTCCTTTTTCCAGCACCTGTTTTATCTTCCCTCTGAAATAATGATATCAGTGGGTAAATGGGAGTGCTTAATGATTTCTACTAAATCTGACTAGGTTTGAAATCAGATATATGCATGTATCTGATGCATCAGATCAAGGTAAGATGACTTTGTTCTCTTTCCTCTGTATAATATATTTGTGGTCTCCCTTAAAACCATATACAATTTTCATAAAGCCAATACCATTTGCAAATCAATTAATAAATCACCATAAAAGCTCTAGCATTTCAGTTGTATCACAATCAGACATAGGTAGTATTCCATATTCCAAAGGCAAAGCAGGATGCAGTGTATGCGACATTAATTTCAGAATTATTTGCAGTAACTCAGATGTCATTTAAAAATATCTGAACAGCATTAAAAAAAGTAATGAAATGTTCTTATAGAAGGCATTTTTAAAAGTTCCTAGTATTAAGATTTTTCAGAGGCACCAGCTGCTCAGGAGCCAGCAATTCACTTCTAAAACTTCCACCTATCTTTTCCTAAAGTTTGTATTCTAAATGTAAAAAGGATTTGTGCGCTGTTTACTTGACAGTCAAAATTCAGTCGAAAGATCAGCCATAGATCTTTTCCGTACACATGATTTTGACTTTTTCTTTCTCATGCCATTGATTAGTGCAGGAGAGAAAACCTTGATTAGCTACTACTTGTTGTGATAAAGCTGATAAACCGCTGTTACAGCAGTTAAAATGTGTACATAATATGATGGAATATCTACCTCTGTCTGCACTAGACAGAAGATTAACTCTTCTCTTGTCTCCAAATCAAAACACTGTCCCTAGCTCATCCTTTTAGCTCTACATGTGACTTCATTCCTGCAGAAATCCATTTCACAAAGTAGTGTGCATGTTTGCTACTTTCGAAATATGGATTTCCCATCTAAAAAATATGAAAATAATTTTCAGTAATCGTTGCAATGTATTCTGGGGTCATGTGCATTGATGCTAGTAATAGGTATGAGTTTTTTGCCATGAGAATATTAAACATTACTTCACTTTAAATCTAGGAAATTTTGCCAATAGTATCAACAAGATCTTCACCAACAGACCTGACCCACTGCTTCACAGCTGCTACAACGGTGTCACTGCTAGGAAGACACTGCTCATTTAGTCCAGCTTCCACTGTGCAAGGCTTAACTGGGACAGTATGAATTCCAGTTTGGCAGATGTCTATGTTATAAATACATCCGTAACCCTTAAAGTTTACAGAAGAGTAAACCTAAACTGCTACCCAGGGTTGCTGGGAGGAGCATTAATTCTTTTCATCTAGTTACATTTTTCTACAGCTACTTCTATTTGCTTCTCCACAAAAACAGTACACAACAGCCCCAAGGTAATTTTCTTAGCCAACCTCTGCAGAAATACAGGCGATGTTTGCATTGAACTCTCATCTCTGAATATAAGTAACAGTCCAAATAGAAATTCTATTGGCCTGGAATATGTTTTGTTACTCCAGGTTATGGTTCAGAGATTTGGCAAATCTAGTTATGGGTCACTTTTGCCCTTTTTTGACAACAGACTCAAAATGAGCCTGGAATGCACTCTGGTTGTCAAGAAATAAAATTGGCTTTTGGGTTGCATCAAAGATAGTTAGCCAGTCAGTTGAAAGAGGTAAATATACCTCTACATGGTATAGCCTCACCTTCAGGATTGTTTTCAGTTTTGGGCCTCACAATAAGGGTGTTAGTATACTTGAATGCCTCCAGAGGAGGGCAAAAAGCTTATAAAATGCTGGAAGGCATGTCCTACAGGGAGCTGCTAGGGACACTGGGTTTGTCTAGTTCAGAGAAAAGACTCACAGGCAAACTCATTGCTCTTTACAGCTTCCTGAGAAGGGGAAATGGAGAGGGAGGTGCCAGACTCTTCTCCCTGGCAACAGATGATACAATATGTGGGAATAGCACAAAGCTGCTCCATGGGAGGTTCAGTCTAGATGCTAGGAAAAGTTATTCACCATGAGGCAGGTCAAACACTGGAACAGGCTTCCTAGAGAGGCAGTGGATGCTCCATGCCTGTCAGCATCCGAAAGGCATTTGAATAAGGCCCTTAATAAGGTGCTGGCTAACTCTGAATTTGCCATGCCCCTTCCAACCAAACTGCTCATTATTACCATTTTGATTTTGTGACATCAAGTATATTCTGCATGAGTATAACGGATTACTGAATTATTACAGAAGCAGTGCCTATCTTGAATTTCCTCAGACAGAAAATGTTATTTATTCAAGTACTGAATTTTAGTCCAGTAAAAGTACGTTAGCTCATCAATTTACTAACGGTTGGTGTTTCATCCATGACAGAAAACAACTGCATACGAACAAATTACAAGCAGGGTTCCAGTTGCTTAAAACAGCTACCACAGCTAGCATCAGAAAATGAATGGAGCTTTATGAAATAACATTCTTTACCTGCAGTTATACTACAGGGCCCTCTGCTGTGCAGTTCATAGTAATAACAGAATAAACATAGGCCAGGAAAATTATCCTCCCATTAGTTCTAGCAGCAAAAGCTGTACAACTGACATATTAGGTTTTTACCATTGTTTAAAAACCCTTTAGGAGCAAGTGGCAAGTGGGCATTATTCACCACTCACTCTGGGTTCCTAACAAGGTCAGACAGATCACCTAACCTTGTCAGGTGGCAAAGCCATCTGACTCAGTCTCAGTTTGATCTGATTTCTGTTTCATAAACTAAACTCCACAGTCCTTTCAAAGAGAGACAATAGCCTTTTCAACGGGCTAAGCCCTTTCACCCTTTGTTTCTCTGTTTAAATAATATATCTCTTTGGTCTTTGGCAAGAATGCTTGACCTTGTAAATCTGACCATTCACAGTACTCTGTAGTGGTGGAATGTGTTTTCATAATACTTGAAGGCTTCTTTATCTAAAGCAAATGTTTGTTTATGAAAGTTGAAGTGAAGCATTCACATGATCAAAAGAGAAATGAACAGGCACCTGGAACACACAGTAAAAAGATCTCTCCTAAGAGGAAACTCCTTTTAGCTACTGTTCTGAATCTAATTATGAAAGATGAAAACATTTCTCTCAATCTCTGGAATTAGAAAAAAAGAAATAAAAAAAGAAATCAACATAACTAATTTGCTTTTTTTTCCTGAATCTGCGAACTGAGGATAACTGATGATCATCTTATCCCATTATAATTGTTTCAGAAAGGACAGATTTGACCTTTCCTTGGGCCCTAAGGTATAGTTCCACAGTACACCTAGGCTGCCTAACAACTTTCTGTACCCAGAATGGTCCAGACCTGCTTCCTCTTCCCTTCTTCTCTGCCTGTCTTTTCACCTGCTTGCCCACAGCTGCCATTGCACAGATTGTGGTTCTTTTTTTGAAATCTTCACAGAACTGATTTATTTTGTCAGCCAAGCAGAAAAGTACTTGCCCTTATTAGATTTAAATCATTTTACTGGGGGGCCAATAAGCACTGAACTGAGTGTTAGGGGAATTCTGTCTGGTGTTGCCAATTGCTAAGGGTGAAGAATGAAACTGAGAAAATTAATCACACTCTTCTCCCATTGTTTCTTCATTTGGAATGTATAACTATCCTGCTACATCTGTAGGCTTCACAACAATCTCAGCAAAAAGGTAAATAGTCAACATAGGGGCTACTTCAAAATTAACGCCTCCTATTTTCTTCTGTTGGCCCACAGTGGCAGATGCTGGGAATAAGAAACAGAGGCTGCGCTTTCCCACCAATGTTCTGTTGCATTTTGTTTCTGTGAGACAGCAGAGGGGCAGTCTGACAAGCAACACCTACCATGGAAGAGCGTGGAAAGCAATAGAATTTAATTGAATTCCTCCATGGAAAAGAAAAAGCACCCACTAACGTCAGTTGACACTTGCTGAGCATTCATGAAGACCAAACAGTGGATGTGAGCACAGCGAGGCAGTGGGTGGGATGTCTCAGCAATGGCAACAACAATATGAAAGACAAGCCAAAAATGGACAGCCATGCAGATTTTTCACGAGTATGACATACAGGCTCTTTTCCTGTATTGCTGGTGAAAATGCACAGCTAATGGTGGTGACTATGTTGAAAAATAGCATTTTGTAGCTGAGAATTTGCTTTATTAAATAGTGTTATTTTGCTCTTGGTATCTGTTGTAGCTTGCATGAAAATAAATAGGAGGCACTGCTTTCAGAGAGACCTACATAGAAGAGTGAAGTTAATTTTGAAATGTTGAAATGTTTTCCAGAGACAAAGAGTGGTTTCATTCTACAATCATTTCATTTTATGATATGATTTAGGCACTTCTCTGTTTACTGTCAAAAACTTCCTACAAGTCATACTATATAACAAGGTCTTTGTGATCTTCAGAATTGCTAAGGAGTTCCAATAGTTTGCAGAATTGTATATATTCCTCAAAATGTGTCTGGACACCTATTTTCATTTTTTAGACACTTAAGTTGTTTCTCTAATTCTTCGTTTTTTAAAAACAAATTTTTCCTATCAAAGGTAAGAGTCCACGTTCTTATTAATAAGATGGCTGCATCTGGAATGTCAGCACATATTTTTGCTTCACTTGATTTGGAAAAAGAGAGATAGAAGTAACAAACAATCTCCTTCTCCTGGCTAGGTTATTATTAATTTTTAACTAGAACTATTTAATTGTATTGTTACCAGTTTACAGCAGTTATTGGCCACGGTAATCGAAACATTTCCTAAAGCAATTCAAAGCATTATTCTCCTGTAGGATTGCACTTGCTTTGCAATGTTTTCTTTATAAATAATATGCATTAGGTTAGAACATTATCCTCATTAGCCTAGGGGACTGTTGAAAAGCAGTAGTTATATGAAAGATTAAATTTCAGCATTTCAGGTCCTGTTATACTAGGTAATTAAATGAGAACGTCTGCTAATTGTACTGCATCAAAGACTGACAATGGCTAGGAAGAAATGGCATGTTCCATTCATTAAGCAAGGATAATATGCTTGTTATGACCAAATAATCCATCATGATCAGAGAACGATCCGAATATTGTTTAGCTGTATGCCACATTAACAAGGCTTGGCACTGTCATATTGCTCGTGTATACCAGATGCATTGGAAAAAATAACAAGCCTACCTTCTGCTCCTGCTTTCCCTCTGGCATGATGCAGAAAGCCCTAGCTGATGCACGAGGGGGCACTGCTTGCACTGAAAAAGCAATCACTTGCCTTTGGCAAAGCAAATACCAAGCTGGAAAACTCCCCATCAGTCAAAACCTTAGAACAAAACTCCCTCAGAAGAATTTGGAGCTTAAAAATAATCCACTTTAATAGATATTTCTTTTAACCCCTGTTCAGATGCTGCTCCCTCCATCACAACTTTCAGAGAATATGGCATTAATATGACCATTTCCATGCACAATCACAACAGAACTTGTACATATAATACAGCTTTGGAGTCTAATAATTGTTACCACGTGTTTAAAGTAATTGCTGAACTCAAGCTAAGTGTCAAGGAGTTCACCTGGATTAGTAATTTATCCTGGGCACAGTACTTTGAAGTACCTATCTTTTTCCAGAATACAGCCTGCAACAGATGTGTCTTAAGTACTTCAAAGCCTTAACTGCAAGCAAGTCAAAATATGCTGTAGTGAAGTTACAAACACATTTGAAATTTATCATATCTGACTGAATACTTGTTTCTTAACAAGTATTCTTCTATATTTATTCTTCTGTGTTAAAACAAGTAATTGACACTGCATAAAATACATGCCATTCATTACATATGAATGCTGCTCCAGAAGTAATGCTTCATATCTATTATGTTGGCAAATATAGAGGTGGATATTGGTGATATGGCAATAGAGATTTCCCACCAACATTCCCTTATATTTTGTTGCCATATAACATGACAACAGAGGGGAGGAATCACTTTCTGAGCAGCCCTCATACATTTTAAGGTTGTCAACTTATTATCATTTATACAACATTAAGTATTAAAAAAAGGAGAAAGGGATAAGAAAAGTAATAAGTGGGATCAGAAACACTTGTGGATGAATTTCTCCAACTGTCACTCATTTATGAAAATGCTACAAGCTGCACAGTTAAACACTATATAAGACACAGGCATCACTAGATTACAAACTTCTATTGCATCAGAATCTGGAGATCATAATTATTTCCTCGTGGCCCCTCCCAAAAGTTTGCAGTCTAATTTAGGATAAGCTGTAGCACTTGGATGAAACAAAGAAATAAAGAGAAGATAAAAAAAATGCTTCCATGGAATTCAGCAATAATTTCCTGTGTGAAAGTACTTAGTCATGGCTCTATTCAAATTCTGCTCACATTTGGTTTCCACAAATGATGAAGTTGTATTTGTATTTTACAACTCTGGAAGCTAATAGACCCAAATGTTACTGCTAACTTGCATATTTACTAAACATATGGACATCTTGAAAAAAATAGTTATGTATATTACATACATAGTAACATATTTTTGACAGATTCTGAACCCAAAAATTAAGGAACACAGAATCACTACTTATGTATAAAAACACTTGTAAGTGCCTTAGAACTGATACCAGATTTGTGGATGTTAAAATGTAGATGGGCTCAAAAAAAATAAATCTGGAATAAATTAGAGGAGTGAAAGCTATCAAGGATAATAACACAGGGGTTGGCTTTTAGAGCCTCAAGTCTTCTGAGCCCAGGAAAGAACGATCACTGTGCACTTGCACTCTTGTTCTCTTCCCAAGCAGTCTGCTTTTGGCCACCACAAGAAACAAGCTAGGTGTACTTTCGGTATGACTCCATCCACTAGATTCTTAGCACACAAGAAAAAAAGATCAGATTCTTCAAAAACTTCAATTATTAAGAATTATGGTAAATCTTTTGTATTAGCATTTTTTAAAGGTAAACGCAGAAAAACTTATTTGCATCCAGCTGATGTCATGCAAAAGGTCTCTGCAACCAGAATTTAAGATGTTGAAAGATTCAGGGATCTCATACCATCTTAAAGATATGCCATATATTAAACAATAAAACCTTTACCTTGTTGTTGCTCCCCTGTTTCCTTCAAGCTTCTTCATTCAGCCAGGAGTCAGACAAAAGACACGTCTTCCATATCATTAAAGAATCTGTAAATAACAATTGACAGTAAATGCCTAAATCAAATGTTAAAAACCTGCTATTCAACCTCCAATTTTTTTTTTCCCCAAAACTCACTTAATTTTGATATAAGCAGAGTAGTAGGACAGAAGTCCACATATTCAAATATTTTGATATCAGTGATTTGAACATCTACTGCTTTTTAACATCTTCACATACATCTGTTGGTGTGAGATTATGAAGGAAAGCCTTCTCTTCAGATCTTAGACTGAAAAGCATTGCTGTGCTGTAATGCAATGGAAAATGCAACAATAAGTATAGGGTTGTGCAGCTCTAACCTACAGCAAATAAGATTATGCTTAAAGACAACAACTAGGGACACAAAGAAAAGAAATCTGCTTATCATTAGGAGCCACAGACATACAGGGTTCTCCAGCAAAAAGCCCTCACCTCCACTGCCTAGCCTTAAATGAGGTCTGGGAAGGGCTGGATCCTGGCTCCACCCCCTTCCAATCACTCAGGTACATTGCCTGCACCTGAGCTCCCCTGGGTTGGCCCTGCTCTCCCACCAGCTGCTCAATCACTGCTTCAAGCCATGACAGCATTTCCCCTACAAGTACACACTTGTGACTCTCCAAATTGTTGACTCACAAAATGGATACATATTGAGTACGTTGCTTACAATCACAAGCGTAACTAGGAAAGATTTCAATGACTAGGTAAGGTGACTTGTTTGGAAGCAATGGTACCATATGCTCCAAAGGTCTTCTTCTGTCAATCAAAAAGATAACAATACTGGCACTGGGATAGAAAGATACATTTCAAATGTACTGAATCTATGCATTAATAGAAATCTACCTGCATTAAACACAAGTGAATAACTGTAGAGATTCAAGTTATATCTCTATTTCAAGGAGAAATAGTGACACTGAAGTATAATAAAATCAGTTTAAGTGGCAATATACCTAAGTGCAAACAAAGCATGGAAGACAGAAAGGGATGATAACAGACCCAGGTACAAGGATGATGTAAAACTGAATCCTGAACAACTTTTCATCCTTCATGTGACCTCCAGACTTTAGCAAAGTTTTGGGTGTTCTACCCTTTCTTACTTTCTGTTAGAATCTTATATACCTGGTGTCATGAGGAATACAATTTTGGTAAGGACTGGCCATGACAACGTTCAAAGGATTTAAAAAGGATTCCTATATTTAATGAAATGAGTTAAGAAAAGTGCAGTTATGAATAACTAAAAACAATTACTGAGCAGAGAGGCATACATGAGGTTATAAAAGTATTTATTTAGATACTGCTATTAGTTTTAAGGAATACTTGAATATATATGTAGCTTTATATTCCCTATTCCCATGCACTTTGTAAAAAACAATTCTGTATCATTATGCCATTAAATACGTAAAGACATTGAGGAATAGAGTAGGTGACTTGTTTAAGGTCACACTGATTGAGTCGTATGTATGATAAAGTGCCAAGGATAACAAGAAGGAGCTGACTAAAACGGAGAACTAAAATGGGTGTTTGAGCAGTAGATACAGTGCTAAATGATCACATCCAAAACCAATCACATATATCAAGGACAACCTATGCTCTATAGCTAAATCACAGAGTAGCTGTCAAAAACTTGTTTTCATTAGAAACTTGTTCTCATTAAAATCAAGATTGCAGGCTATAATGCCTGTTATATCACAAGTGCTGAACTACTGGCAACTTCACAACCCTAACATCTGTTTTCTAACATTCTATTCAATTATTCCTTCTGACACACTTTTGCTTGCAGTCCACTCTTATGGCTGACACGACTGTGATGTTGGAAGTTGCATGGGAACTGTTGAGTCCCAGCCTGAACCAGTGATTGAGCATGTGGGGAAAGGACCTGATCATCCCTGGGAACACAGGTGAAGGCAATTCACTTGTGAGATAGGAAAGGGTGGAGCCTGGCTGCACCTCTCTAAGACCTCATTTAAGGGCCAACAGCCATTAGGGAAGGATTTCTTTCTGCAGCTCTGCTGTTGGTGAAGCTTTTCCTACTAACACAGAATCTTCTGATGTGGGTGAGAAATCTTCTTCCTTTCCTTTATTGTGCTTTTCTTTTGTGCTAGGCTTTCTATTGTCACACATTTGTTGTAATGTCTTTCCTATTGTATGGGTCTGTTCAATTGCTATGGGAGTCTATTGTTGGAAATCTGTGTAGCACAAAAAATGGCCATTTTTTACCTGAAATTAATATATATTTTTTTTCTCATGAGTAGAAAATATGCAAGATCTTGTTCTTCAACTGTTTTCCATTTTAGGATGCTTGTTACATATCTCTATGCTTAACATAAGATAAGTGTTAAGCTTCTTTCTCAAACAGAATAATAGCAAATTAAAAAGCTGTACTGCTATTACAGCTAGTGTTCAGTTACCTGTGCAGTATGTTCTTGCATATGGAGATCAAGTTATGTAACTACTTTAAAGGTGTTTGCTGGTGGAATATTTACTACAAATAAAAATCAAAATAATTGTCACAATCTTGGTGGAATTAAGTTGTATACGGCTCAGAACAAATTTCATGCAATTCATTCTCTATACCCAGAAAAAGACCTTGACAAATCATGCTATGATGTGCTGAAGTCTAGGGGTCAGCCTAATGGCAAACATCACCAGAAACAAAGCTACCTAACCATTTCTCCTCACTCACAGGAATAACCTTTTAAAAGGTAAGATCTGGGCTTAGGGATCAAATTTCCATAAACTTTGCTGAGAATAGAATTGAACCCTTAGGACTACATTCATATCCCATTCATACCCATTAATTTTACATAGTTTCTGCAGACTAACCTCCTTGACTTAAACAGGATAATCTGAGTAGCATAATAATCAAGATGAATAAAATGTTGCAATCTTACATTCAATATCTAATTCTGGAACAGCAGGTAACAAAATCTAGACTTGATATTAGATATAACTTAACATATACCAAATACCCTTGCTTACATGTTTAGAGGCATAAGTTAGATTGCATGAATAGTAATTGCATTTCCCTTTTTTAATTTATTACAGTTGCCATTTTCAGGATCCAATGTAGGCTCTCTGCTTCTCTGTCTTTGTGCTTGTTTTTAATTGCATTGTTCTTCAAATTTTTCACAGCATCGCTTATTTTCACATGGGGAATGAAATAAATTAAGATAAGAGGTTCAATTTTTGACTGTAACTTCTGCACGTAACTCCTTTGGTTTTCGTTGGAGATACTGGCCTAAACAAATTGTCTTAGGCATAGCTTCTATGGATAGTTCTGCTTATGAAATATTGTATCTATAATGATGAGAAGTCAAACTTCAAAAGAACAATGATAACTGCAGAAAAAAGGGTTCTGTTCAAACTTCTCTACATTTTTGCCACCTCATTATGACTACTTATTCATGAAAGTATCTGCCAATGAATTCTACGTGAATTCTACAATGAATTCTTCTTTCTTCAGAGCATTTTATTCAGATAATGCAATATGCATTTCAGGTCGGATTTGATACATAAGACATAACCCTATGTGTCAATGTTTCTGAATAACCTCATGTTCTCTCCAGGTAAGTTTTCACTGACACTTTCTTCGTAGCTTAAATGTTTGTTGTTTTTTTTTTTTTTAATGAATAATGATGGTAGCATTGTTTTTTGGTTTCCTGGTTAAATTTGCCTTGTAAAGGCTTTTGTCTTGACTGCAATGTCCTTACACACAATCATAGGATGATTTGAGTTGGAAAGGACCTCTAAAGTTCATCTAGTCAAATATAAACAGTGTAAGCACAGACAATATCTACATATTTAAGTGTGGGTAGGACATATTTGTGCTAGCTGATGTGTTTTACTGTTGATCCTCTGGATTCCTACATTTAGACTCTAACAAATATTTGTAGTGCAGAATTCGTAATCAAGCAGAAGAGACTCTAGCTGTTACGCTGTTCTTTCCACATAGAAATGTTTCTTCATTTTCTTGTGGAAAAAAAAATCACCTCAATTGCATCCATATCCAATTCTTTCTGCTTATTTTTTTCCTGTGTTTTAAGTAGCTGCTACATACAATGAACCCATGTAAACCATAACAGTGCAAAGCCTCTCCTGACAAAGTTCTTTGCAGTTGGACATCAGAAATCCCTATTTTAAAGCAGACTTTTTTGGCTTTGCTCATCAAACTGTGAATAATGTCTTGCGTAAACAATATTCTGTATGGAATCAGCATAGATATATTTACATATTTTGCTAAATGAAATGATTAAATCAGCCTTGTCTGCTGTTTTGTTACCTGGCCAGAGGACTACATTGATGTCACAAGGGGATGGGCTGTGCCTGCTGCCAGAGAGATGAGGCCCTTGTTTTTAGGGTAAAAGCAGAAGGTTTCCAGAGGCCTTAAAAAATGGAGCTGGGGAGCAGTTACTTGTTTTCCTACTATGAGTAAATGAGCAGTAGAGAAAGCAGCTGGAGTTATTCAGAGCAGCCAACTGAAAGCACCAAGTTAAAGTATTATGGTTGGAAGATAGAACTTAAAAGTGCAAATGGAAATGAAGGCAGAAGAGGGCAAGGGGGGAAGGACTGGTCTGGAGATGAGTGAAGTCCAGGTGTGAGCTGCTCACCTGAGGGGTTGTGGTGGGCTGTGCTGCCAAGGCATGGGACTGACATGATTAAAACCTCTCTCACGTTTCTCTTGCCCTCTCTGGATGGAAGCATTCATGTGCAGCAAACTTCCCTGCTTTGGTGATGCTCTTTTCCTTTGGTTTGGTACTTTCAATACGTGTCACTTTATACCAGGAGTTCAGAGAGCTCGACTGAAGGAACGAGGTGGTGAAATGCTGTGCCCTTGTTTCTGAGGGCACTTTCTCAGTGCTGCAGGGCCAGCTATGCTCACATTCCCGTTCCCCTCTCCTGCCAGTCAATTTGCCTTTCTCCTTCTCTGTGCTCTGAGCGACTACATCGCCTCATCTCTCAGCGCGAGGGCACCGCTGCAGCCCGCGGCTCCGCTCTCGGGGTCCCGTGCCGGGCGCTGAGGGAGGTGGGCACAGGTGGTGCCCGGCTCGAGACCAACGGTCGCCGCGCTGCGGGAGTTCCCGCGCGGGTGCGGGGGGCGGGCGGCCCGGCCGCGCGTGGGTCCGGCAGCGATTCCCCTGATTGGCGCCCGCCGCCCGCAGGTTGCCGCCTCCGCTCCCCGCTGGGGCTTTTCTCCCCTCCTCCTGGAAGGGAAAAGTCCGTGTGCGCGCGTCTGCCGCCGGCCCCCACATAAAGGCACGGGAAACGGAGCCGGCCGCAGCCGCGGCGAAAGGCGACCGCGGTGAGCAGCCCGGGGATTTCCGGCGGCTCCGGGATCTCCCTCGTCCTTTGCTGGAAAAGTTTTGCTCGGAGAACGCGGCGCGGTTCTGTCAACCCGGGCTTCCCCTGGTGCTGTGCCCCCCTCCGCTCGGGCGGAGCGCGGAGGGCTGAGGGACGGAGCGCGGCGGGATGGACGGGAGCCCGGTGCGGGGCTGAGCGGCGCTGGGAGCGAGGCGCGCTCGGCGATGGCCCGCAGGGAGGGCTGACCGGGCGGCTGCGGAGGCTCCCGGAGCCGCTCCCGGGACGTGGCCCCGTCTCCTCGGCATGGCGGGGGCCGCCGGCGGCGGAGGGCCGCGCTGCCCGCAGGCTGTCGGACTGCTGCTCGGGGCGCTGCTGTGCGGAGGTAAGCGGGAAGCGCAGCACCAGTTGATCGCGCTTGGGCTGCGCTGGTTCGCAGCTCCTCGGGATGGCCGCTTGTTTTCCCCGCAGCGGCGTTAAATCTTTCTCCTTCTCCCCCCCCTCCCTCCGCCCCCGTGTCTCTTCTTTTCCTTTTCACATCCCTTCTGTGTTGTCTTGCTCCTTTCCCCCTCTCCCTTCCATCCTCTTATTTCTGCGCTCGTGTTTATGTGAATGGGAGCGAACCTTGCGAGCTCGCATGACTGAAACGAGAAGCGGAAAGTTTCCTCGCTTTTCGCGGTGTTTACTTCGTTATTGCCTGGTTATAAAGGGCTTTTCTCTGTGGGAATGGTGTTCCCGTGTGGAACGCGGTGAACCTCTAAGGAGCACCGGGCTCAGTGATAGTGCTGAGATTATGGAACATCACTCTTGGAATTTGGAGTTGTGCAGTAAGAGCTCCCGAGAATGGATAGAAGCAATTACCTGGAGGGAACGAGAAGATTGTTATCAGGATTACAGGGACAGCTGAGGAGCAGGTTTGTTTTAGCACAGAGGTCATTGGAATGATCTGATGCTTCGTCTTATCACTGAACTTCTGTGATCAGAGTCGCTTTGATAAAGGGAGATCTCTGAAGTGACCCAGGCATGTAAACTGTTTGAGATCCAAGAAGCGGCTTCCATGCAGAGCTGTGGGTTATTGCCATATCTCAGCACATCTTGTGATCTTGCTCTGGTCGCGTTAGTTGTGGACACGTTCTGCCTTTTTGGGAATGAAAACTTGCAAAGCTCTTTGCAATTCCAGCTGTTGTAGTCATCCCTAGCAATAGGAAAAGAAATCATTTTGCTTTTTATCCTCTTAATATTAGTGATGCTGTTTGACTGACATAAGAAGATTACTAATAAAAGGCTTTTCATTGTTTAGTTTGAACCAGTCCTGCTGACCTCTTACCAGGGCAGTTGATTGGAGGGGCACCATGGATGTGTACAGAAGCATCTTAAGAATGAAGCAAGGGCTGAACTGGTGGCAATATTTTTCCCATTCAGATTGGTGCAGAAAATAAAGTACTTGGCAGGAAATTGCACAGCCTCTTACTGCCAGTCATTTTAATATAGTACATTAAAACTAATGGACATCCTTGTGACTCAATGTGCCATGAAAGTGCAATGTGAAGTATGTAAATTATGGGACTTTGTTTTGAAAGCTGCGATCTGGAGGTGAGAATTGTATTAGCCTGTGTTCACTTTCAGAGTCTGCAGGAGATTAAGAATTTTAAGGAGTGCCTGGCACCTTTCTAGGGCACCATATCTCTTCTGCCATGCAGCTTTTACAGTTACAAATGCATCTTCTCCAGTCAGCATTTGCATTAGATTTAATAGAATTGGGCACTGATGTATGGACGCTTTCTTGTAAAAATATTTTCAGTTAGAGAAATATGTAGGTGCTGCTTCGTAAGGGTGGCAGAAAGTGCTACAGTGAGAGGTTATAAACAACCCAACCTCATTAAGCCATTTCTCTTTGCTGGAGCCTGGGTCAGCATTGACTCAGCCATGCTGTAAAAAATAGTCAGTATTGGTGCCACAGCCAGCCACTAACAGCAGCTGCTGCTGGGGTTTGCTGGGCTGCGTTCTTTGAGAATAAAAGATAAAATATTATTAATTCAGGGAAGGAAAGCAGAGCTTCTGAGCAGAGAATTTGCCTTTCTGCATTGCTGGGCACGGTGCTGTTGAGAAAAGAGCTGGTTAATTAAACTTATTAAATAAGGTGTTTGTATGGTTTCCTTGTGAGGCCCTAACAAGCATTTCATTTGCGGTCCCCTTGTGTATTTGCACTCTTTTTGTTGGTGTGTTAGGATAGCGATTGTTCTTGAGAGCCAAAGTCCAAGTAAATGAAAGTCACTTTATAGCTCGTAAGCAGAAACGTTTGTGAATGTACTGAGAAACTTACTATTATAGACAAGTTGTCATTTGCTATTTAAAGAGCTATATTTACTTCTCTGAACTCATTAACATCTCCTATCAGGCCTGAATTTCTAAGAAAATTCTCCTGAAATGTTGCCTTAGGCCTCAGCATGTCATTATGCTGTGGTTATTATCAAGCTAATAATGTTAATTCATTCAATCTCAAGAAAGAAGCTTGGCATTTCATTTAAGCCATGCCTCTAGTTAGACCAGGATGTATAAAAAGTCAGTGTGCAAAAGTGCTCTTGCATATAGGTGCGTGCACGTTCTTTACATACCAATTATTGGGTGCTGTTCCCTAGGTGGAAAGTATGTGTGTGAAATCATATTTACATAAGCAAATCCTAAGTGTATATATTCCTTTCAGGAAATGGCCTCTTTTCAGCAAAGTGCTAATGCATGTGCTTAAGCCTCTTCGTAGTCAGTAGGAAGAATTCGTGGGTTCAAGGTTAGATATTTTTAATTCTTTTCTTGAATCTGAGCACAAATGAAGTGAAGGCAAGTGTATGAACCTATTTCATTGTACAATGCATAGAAAAGCAGAATGCATGTATTCTGCTTCATCTAATCTCTGAACTAAAACACAATAATAGCAATCAGAAGCAAAGAATCCTAAGTAACACCTAAACATGAGTTTCAGGATGTACAGCTGGAGGATTGATTCCTTTGCTGAGAAGTGTGTGTGTATGTAGATACATGAAAGAAAGCACTGAACATGAGCAAGTGTTACATTTGTGTGGTGTTACCAGAGTTCTAGGTATTCAGGTAGACTTACAAAATGCAAGCACAGTTATGCATCCAGAGGCTGGTATATTACCTGCTTTTGTTCTGCTATTTTTTAAATCCAAAATGATGTGATAAATGGAACTTTCATTTGTATGTAATCAATTGATAAACAGCAGAGCATTAATCTTTCATAAATTTCAAAATATTATTAAGCATTGCCAAGTT